GATTGTGGACTGGAAGCGGGTTTGCTGTAATATCCATCTTTCTCGCCTGTCCAGCTTTTCCTGGTGTGTTCCTTCCCTCTGCTCTTCAGTACTGTTTCTTTGACATATCGTTGCACCTGGTCCATAGCTAGATTAGCTTTTTGTTCTCAGGGCCATGTATTAATGACCTGAAATGTTCTTTAAGTGTCTCAAAAATAAACCTACCAGTGCACTCTGTGTGCCAGAGAGATGCTGGAAATATCTCAGCAGCTTTTGGGCAGCTTTCTAGACTTTGTTCTGGCTGCCTGCAAACATCACGGACACTTTGGGTGGAAAGGCCACTTGCAAAGCAGGAGCACTGAAACCTCCCTTCCTGGGGAAGGTGAAGGATGAGGACAGAGCAGTTGGTGAAGCCAGGAAACTGCAGGGATAGCCAAGGTAACAGCTGAGCTGCTAAAGGCCAGTGAGACAATTGTCAACAGCGCATTAGGACAATCGCAAATGATACAAAGAAAAGAGGAGGTACTGGGTAACTGATGCCCTTGGCCAACTGTAACAATTTGAAAAAGAGATCGCAGTGACCAAATGCTTGGAAGAGGTGAGTTTGCTGCAGGAACATGGTGAAAGCAGCTGCCGAAGGATTAAGACCGGTTTTAGAGAATGGGAGGTGGAATGGTAGGAGGAGATGAAGTCAGAAGGAAAATGGGATGTAAAATTCAGGGAAGGGATGGTTGAAGTGAAGGCAGACGGTAGGGGGGACCCGGCAGGAGACATGGGGATGACAGAGTGCCAGGGAAATCCTGCCAGCACACCCAAGGTCAGCCCAACCTACAGGCCAACTGCCAAGAGGATGGCAGCACATCGGAGGCAGGGTTATGGCCGTGCAGGGTTTGAAGGAGGTACAGGTGTAGAATGGCAGAGAACGGCACGTCTGTGCAGTCCCTGTGTCCAGGAATACGTTCTGGGATGTAGTATGCCAAATTAGGAAACTTGCACTACTAAGAGGCAAATGAAAGCTTTTCTCTAAAAGGAGCTCTGGAAATGCTGGACAGTGTGGTGATGCTGAGGATGCACTCTGCGCTGCTAGCTCCTGGGGAGAAAACTTGTGCTTTGAGTACCAACTGTGTGCTGGTGTGTTTTGGCTTCAAACTCCTTGTGTGACCTTGTGCAAATCAATATAATCAAAAATCTAGCTGTAGACAGAATCCATATCTTTGTGCTTCCTTATCGTTCCAAAAATGACCATTTAATGTCTGCTAATTTCAGCGCACAGTTAACTCCAACCAGAAAAGGTGGTTAGGAGGATAGATGTGGGTCTGGATATCTATTGGGATTTCCAAATCCACCTTGAATAACAAGCTATATTGACACCAGTGAAGATTCTGGAGGTCTTCACAGACCTTCTGTGTCTTTAGATCTCCAGTATCATCAAAACCCAGCCCACGTAGTGCCCTGCATCCTCTCTCTTCTAAAACAAGGTCATTATGCAAACAGCATGGGGGTTGAATGCACCTGCCAGTAGCACTCTGTGGTGGGGTTATTTTAAACGAAAGGACCTATGACTTGGGTCCAACGAGGACAGCAACCCTAATCTGCATATGTCTTACAGCTAGGTAATGTGTCATGCACAAAGCATGTGGATGGGGATGGTTTTAGCTTCTGGAGGGGAGGTATTGCAAATGATGGGCATTTTCCTTGAAAGAAAACTCGTAGACCTGTTTGGGGTGGGGATGAGGGCTGGGGCAGGTGAAGCTGAGCCTGCACACATGGTAACATGGTCATTACCCCAGCGCCCGCACTCAGTGGACACATGGTTTCTTGCAAATTGTGGCTTGCACAAGGCAGCTCTTGTAGAAATCAGAAGCTGGAGCATGAATTGGGGGAGCCTGACTGGAGGATGCCCCATGGGGGAGGCTGGGACCCTACCACAGCCTCGTTACCGCTGACCTTGGCACAAGCACTGCCTGCTGATGGATCGGCTACGGAGCTGGACAAGACCCTGGGGAACCACTGTATTATCTGTTATTGTCCCATCAGTGCCTCCCCTGACCCCTCCCAGCTCGAATGCCACAGGCATCAGGGAGGGAATAAATCTCTGTCTGATACTGAGAGAGAAAAGGGAGAGAGAGCAGGAAAAAGGAGAGATGAAAAATGTCCTTTTTATGACTCTCACAACAAAGCTGGCCACATGATTCGTAGCAAACACTTCTGTGGGAAAGGGGAGGGAGAATCGGGGGGAATCAGCAAAAAAGCAAGGCTGCTTCTCTTCCCTGGAAGATGCCCACAGGGAATTAATAGAGGTGTTTGAGTGACCTTTGAAGGTAAATATCCCAGGAAAGGAAGGAGACCTCAAAGCTTCAGAAAGCTCACTCCAGTGTCTGACACTGCCTTGTGAAATGCTCCATGCAACACACGTCCACCACAAATGGAAAGCAGAGGCATAAGTGATCTGCCATGCTAGAGGGAGCAGCAGGGCCAGGGTGTGATTAATAAGGCACTAATAACAACCACAGCATTCGTGTTTGCTTCTATTTGGGACGATCCAGGAGAGCTTGTAGTTGTGAGCCTGGGAGGACTCCTGACCTTGGTGTCTTGAGGAGACAGAAGCCTTTAGCAGTGCAGCCCAGGGCCTGAGAAGGGGTTGGAGAGATGTGGCCAGGGCTTGAGAAGGCCCCTGCATGTTACCCACTGACAGCTGCAAGACCACAAACACATTCCTGTGACGGCTGCTGAGTTGTTTGGGCCTTATAACCCGCCCTGTGCTGCTGTTCCCAGGGAGGCAGCCCAGCCCTGAGGCTGCACGCTGGCCCTAGCTGCAATTCCAGCTGTGCAGAAGAGCTGCAACAGGGCTGTGGGTGCAGACTGAGAGGGTTTGCGTTGGTGTTTGGGGGATTGTCCCAGAGCGTTGCCATCATCAGGCAGGGTGGTTGCAGCCACTTCCAGTGTGATGAGAAGGCACCTTTGCTCTCTGGCCTCCTCAGCCGTACTGTCTGTGCTGTGCCTTGGGCTAGGGAATGAGATGCAGGCGCTGTTCTTGTTAAAAAACTTCACTGCACCTGAGATGTTCATCAAAGTGGACATTTCTAAAGGCAAGCAAGTGCTTGGAGTCATGGAAAAAGACTGTATGCCACAGTTTTCTTCTGCCCCCAGACGAGCACTATCTTAGTTGTGAGTGCATTCCCAATTAGCAGCACTAAGAACACAGTCATACAGGGCTTAGAGTCCAAAAGCAGAAGCAACTTAAAGCCATTGACAATCAAGTCATTTTGCCCCCAACAGGGCAGGTCTTGCTGAATTTGGTCAGCTCTGACTAGGGACAGGCTTGGGCTGGGGAGTGCTCACCAGAGCTGGTATCTTTAACTTGCCAGTCATGGAAAAGTGTGTTAAATTCCCACTTTTACCAAAATGGCTGTAACAACTCCTCGGTAATCCCAGTAATTTGATTTTGTCTATAACATGCTTTTAAAGTAAAGGGATAAATACAATCAGTCTGCATAAAAGGTAGCTATTAAGGAGCAGGCAAGTTGTACAATAATAACTTTAAATTAAAAGCCCTTTCCCACTACTTCTGGTGATGTGGGGTCTGCAGATTTTCTTTAAAACTTTTGAAACGTGCCTAGACTTCTTACAGGCAGCCATTTAACCTCCGTTTATGAAGAAATAAAGCAAAATTGATGTTGATTTTGGTCTACATTGGGGGATACTTTTGCAACATAAAAGCCCTTTTGCCTGCAATTTGCAGAGCAGCCCTGTCACATCGGTGAGGGCTGATACTGATAAAGATAAAGCTTTATAGCTGGGGCATTTGCAGCTAACAGCAAGCTAATGCTACATTTTCATTTTGATGCAATTAATGTTAATGTCTGCTACGAAAATTGTCATTAAATACCATTTTAAAATCCATTCAATTTGCATATGCAAAGCCCATTTACTATCATGTAAAATACACGGTGCCGTTCATCATGTCTTTTCTCCAGAATTTGTAGCTGTTATTTTTCTGGTAGTGATTGTTATCCAGCTCTTAAAATGAAACCTAATGTCTGGTCCAGACCTGCACAGAGCAAGGAAACTCTAGGTGCTCCAGCAGCAGCAGAGCTGCTTTAGAGCCTTTTCAGAGGCTTTGAGCACTTCTTATTTTTGTGCTGGGCTCACTCTGGCTCTTCCAGACTGCTACGCTCTGCAGCCTCCCTTATGCTTTTGTGGAGGACAGGCAGTGGAAGGACCTAGAAGCCAGTCTAAGGTGCTGATGTTCTCCCCTGCAGACTCCCTGTTGCACAATTCCCCGTGAGAAAGCAGCACACAGAGCAGTTGGAACCTCAGGCAGGGCTCACATATGCTGGATGCGTTGTAAAAATCTTTTGGAAGACACTGCGATGCAAAAGACCTAACTCAGTGTGAAGCCTTAAACTTCCTGCTGCGTTGCAAGGGATGGACAGGTAGGTGTACGCCCTTCTAGAGGCATTGTTGGGGGAGCAGCATGTACCAGCTCCCCTCCAGCCCTTGGGAGGGGTTGGCCCAAGAAAACAGAAGAGAGCAGTGAAAAGCTTGCCTCCATCCTGCTGTACTTACTAGTTTCTGCTCCATGCAGTGGGAGAGAGCGGGATAAAGAACTTGAACCAATCCTTAACTGCACCAGAGTATTTCAGCCATTGCAAACAGGTAGAAAGGCTGTTGCTCTGATTTTCTGACCCTGGGAAGCCATTGTTCTGGCTTGCAACTCTTCATGTTCCTTTAAGTTGAAGGATTTGCATTGAAGATGTTTTTAAGAGGTTCCAAGCCCTTAGTGCCACAGGTGAAATGGGGATGTGTTGTGGCATGTAGATTTAGATTTAGGTAGTTGATTATCTGACACACGGGTGCAATCAGACATGGAAGTGATGATGTGACTCAGTTGCAGCATGTCCAGGTTCAGGACACTTCTGGTTTGGGGACTGTGTTAGCTGAGGTGTGGGGGAGATGTAGATGTGAGGATAGGAAGGAATAATCTCATTCTAAGAAGGGCCCCAAGCCTTCCCCCTTACCGTGCTGTGATGCCATAAGTCAAGTCTGCAGGCGCTTTAGAAGGACATCTCTTGAAGTAACTGTAATCTCCATCTTTGCGCCGAATATCCTTGGCCTTGTAATACAAATTAAATTCACGGGCTGTGGTATAACCGGCCTTGAGAGCACCACGGTTCATGGTGATGAAGTCTCGGGGCATCTCCTGAACTAAAGCAGGCCTGGGCTTTATTGTGTTCCAGTGGCCTATTGCTGGAGATAGAAGGAAACATGAAAGGCAAAGAGAAAAAGATCAGGCATCTCAGGTAACTCCTATTTGGGAAGGCAGGCTGATGTTTGGGCACGATGCACAAGGGTCTTGCATGACTTGCATGTGCTTTGCCATGGCTTCACTGTGGAGTGAGCTTCATATCCTATCCCACTGCATTTCATGCGGGAACATCTCCCATCTGAACTGGATGTCTTCTCAGCCTCCACCCAGGCTTGCTCAGTAAGTCTGATTTCACAGGGGAGTTGTCCCAGAGAGCACAAAGTAGGAGCTCTAACAAAGGTATGAAAATGACCACGTGTATCACCCTTTGCAGGTGCCATACCCCTCTCTGCCTGATCTCCGCACGATCCTATAAAAGTTTCCAATACGATAAACTTTACTAATCACCAAGCAATTTGGGTGATACTAATGAAAGCGGGTGAATGTTGGAGTTCTTCACCTCCAGCTTGATGAGAAGTGTTGAAGATCACTGGGAAAGAGATGAAAGTCCCTACTAGCATTAGGACTTCCTTGCAGGTCTATAGTGGTGTTGTCATACCTTCAGGGACGCCTCCATCTGTCCTGTGGATGTACAGCCCGTATGAAAAATCAAAGCCTGGCAGGGTGTAGCAGTTTCTCTGGGGCTTCCCCACTTCTGCCTGCAGAAGAGTGAAGTTAAAGAAGTGTAAAGGCCTTTCCTGATAAGTTAAAGCCCCTCAAAAATAAAAATTTGTAACAGAAAGCAGCCATTAGTATCAGGAGTGGCTCTGGCTCCACTTGGCACGGGTTGAATCCCACCATCTGGACACAAGCAAGTGTGACAGTGCAAAAGGAGAGCTCACAGCCGTGAAGTTTCACCAGAGCTGAAGCCTAAGGGATGTTGAATTTCACACATGTTTTTACCTGAGTTATAAAGCGACCTAGCCTTGCTGGAAATATGGATCCTATATATATGGACTTGAAGTCTCCTTGTTCCCTTAACCTCTCCTTTGGCTGGGATGCCCAGCTGTGGTGTCTGCTGGGGGGACTGCGGCTAGTCTTAACTTTCCTTTGAGTTACTTCATTTCCAAGCTGTGCATCTTCCTAGAAAACTGGCATTAAATTCCCCAAGCACAGTCACATTGCCACTCCTGCCTGGGAATAATCAAGACGCAAGGCATGTTGCAGGGGGAGGATCAGGGGGAGCAGAGCCTTGGGTTTATAGCACAGAAAAGAGAACTTGAGCTCAATAACCTCATTTCTATTTAGTTTTAAAATGAACTCTTCGCCGGCCCATGTATGTCCCAGCCTGGTGGTGTCTGTGGGATTAACTGACCTCCCCTCACCCCTTTGTCTCTACCCTCCCATCTCCATGGTGAAGTCACTGCAGGACGTGTGTGTGTCTTGAAACCTTATTGCTGCTTGAAAGGGAGGCGATGGAGGAGGGAAGCGATGCGAGCGTGGCAGGCTGGGGCTGTTTATTCCTGCTAAGAGCCGGGTCAGGCAACAAGTCCCCCGGAGTCCTGAGGCATGGTGCCGGTGCTTTGGGACAGGTTGTTTTTCATGGGAAGAGTGGTGAAGGAGCTGGGGGGTTGTAGGTGCTGGTAGAATAAAAGTGCTGAGGTTCTACTCTAGTGCTTCTCACAGGTGAATCATTGAACATTAACATTGAGGTGACCGTTATTACACTCTAGAGTGAACGCTTTCTGGATCAGGAGATGTTGAATCAAATGCAGCCCTTTCTGCAGGGACAGAGTGAAAAGAGTGAGACTGAAAATAAACCACCTCCAACTTGCCACTGTGGCAGGTTGAAGCTGCACAGCAGTCGATAAGGGACATAGCTTACCAGAGCTGCTTGTGTAGGAATAACATCCAACCCCAAATTTACATTCTGCTCCCAGCCAGCACCGTGCAAACCCTGGCCAGGGCCTCGGAGCAGCCATGGCTCTCCTGTACGCTGCCAGCCTGGTGGCCCCTTTCCAACACGCTGTTAAAGGGTACTCACCAAGTGTGCGCGATGCTGCCGAGCAGCTTGAGCTGTTCTGCATCACCCTCAGCTCGAGCAAAACTCTTGCTGAGCCAGTTGTGCCTGGAGAATGAGGTTTAATAACCCCTGCCCAAAACAGGCCCCTTTCCAGAGGTCTGTGTTGAAGTCTGTAGAATTTGCTTGTAATTCCTCAAACTTCTTTGCCTGGAGCCAACTTTTTGTGCGTTCAGTTTGGAGTTTCTCAGCTCCTGTCTCTATACGCAGCTACACAAAAACTTAAAAGCACACAGTGGCTGCGGCACCGGGCTCCTCACCAGCGTGTCCAGGGGTGAGATTGTGCCTACTTGCTTGAGCAACTTATCTGACTTGTGACAACAGGTTTGCTCCTTTGCAGATCCTGGCAAACCGGCTGTCAGCTTTGCCAGTTTGTGATCAATGGGATCATTGGGTCTGTAAGCCCAACGTACAGTGATGCTTTCAGGTCAATCCAGGGTCTTGCTTCCCAGATTTGGGAGGGAGGTTCTTCCTCTTGGTCCTGTTAAATCCGCGCACTGGTGATGCTATAAAGCAGGCGTCGTATTCCCACGACTCTCAGGAGCACAATTTCACCAGAAAATGAATTTTTCTGGACTTGCCAAGATCCTTTGATAGACTTGAAAACCCCATCAGGCTCCTTGCCCTGGGCGAAGCTACAGATCCTTTGTTGCAAGCAGACCTTTTTGAAGGCAATTGATTCAGCTACCTGATACACCCTGCGCATAACATGGCTGCATTCCCCCAGCTGCCTCCTGTGAACCTCTAAGAGAGGAAGACACTGTCCCTTGCAGATGTGTCCGGCACCGAGCACGATGGGAATGAGAGAGGGCTTTTAGTGCTACCGCACCTGAAATATCACGCGGCAGTGCTAAACCATATGTGCGTGCTGTGTGTGAGCTAGGGAGCTCGCGCGAAGCGTATAAACTGGTGCCAGGGATGATAAAGTAGCTTTCATTGCTGATCTATTTCTCTTGTATTTACAGGCATTTGTACGCTAGCTATTTTTAGATTAGTTGTCACTGATATACAAGGGAAATGGTGTAGCAGTCCTCAGACGCATGAGAAAAGGCTGTTTCCAGGGATCATGTTCTGATACGATCAGCTAAGTGAGGTCAGAAATCTGCTATGACAGCAGAGGTGTGGCAGATGGGAGAAAGTTGCTGAGAAACTGCAGTGGGAGGCGAGAGGTTTGTAACCTGTGGCTGAGCTGCCTCCAGATGTTTGAGCACAGAACTCTGTAGAGTGGAAGAAGAAGAAACTTAGATTCCCTTTTGCAGAGCACCTGAAGTTAACACAGTTGGGCGTCTACTCCATCACAAAATGAGTGCACGCTGTTTCCTTTTATGATTTGGGTGGCATTTTACAGTCACTTTGCACTGAATAAATAAAGCTGAAGGTGCTGGATAATTAATTAAAACAAAAAAAAATCTGGTCCAATATGTTGAACATGGAGAGAACCTGTGCCTGAAGAAAATGAACAGACTCGGAGGACTCCGGTTGCCTGCCAAAATCTTTTACCCACAAAAGCAAAGAAGGAGGAGGTTTTTTTAATGAAGCTCAGTGTAATCCAAGATTACAGCCTTTCTCATTCATAAACTAGCAAAATGCTGTTGCAACTTCACGGGCCGGTTTGTCCTGGGGCGTTGTAGGTGTGCTGTGTCACAAAGCGGTGGGGAGAGCGAGCCAAAGTTGATGCAGAAGGTCCTTTTTTCTTCCCCAGCTCCAGCACAGTTTCCTGTGTTCAGGTTTAGCCTGTCACAAAGCTGCTTGGCTGGAATACAGATCTGTCTGACAGCTGTGCCCATCAGCAGACAACTTCATTAAACCTCATTAAGATGTCATTTCTCTGCCTTATTTCCCACCTCTTGGCTCTAATTAAAACCGTCTCTCTCTTCATCCCAGGCGGTCCTAATTTTCTCTGGGTACCTTCTGCAAGTTTTCTCCCTTTACGACCTCCGTGAGGAAAATCCAGCATCTTAAATACTGTTTATCCAGCCCATTTGGAAAAGACAACTCTAGACTTTTTCCTGAAGCGTTCTCAGAGCATCCTGCAGAAATCATCGCCTCCTCCCAGGGCTGCGAGAGATGTGTGCTGAGGCTTTGTTTGTGCTCTCAAACTGTCTTTAAGGACTCAGCTAATGCATCCTTCCCTCTTGGACATGATATTTTTTGTGGTTTAACCAGGTGTGTCTGAACTGTGGTTGGAGGGTGCCACGGTCAGCCTGGCTGCAGCACAGCAGTGGGGCTGTTTGAGCAGTGGGGATACCCTGGTCGGCTGAAGAGTGAGTGGTGTTGGGTGTATCGAGCTCTCTGGCCTTTCCCAGGAAGTATCTGATCTTTGCAACCCTGGGTTTGAGCCCTGGATTTGTATTGGAGTGTCCAATGGTGTTGAAAAATGTTCACTGCAAAGAAAGGGGAAGACTCAGAAATGGGTCTGTTTCTAAGAGGTGGGAGCGTTGCAAAGGTGTAAGGAAGTACAAAACCTTTAAGGATTCCAGGTTTTGTTGCAAGACTTAGTTGTGTTTCATCCCCTGGTATTTATGGCCCATCGATGCACGTTGCATCAATTTTCTAAAGATGTCTGAGACTGTGCGGGGTAGGAGATGTGTCTGTGCGGAGAGGTACAGCGAGAGATGGAGGCATGGATTTTTAATCCCTGCATCTGAGGCAGCGCTTCGCTGGGAAGGGATGCTGGGCAAATCCATGAATCCTCTCTGCTCCGACTCAGCCAGGGCTGCCCTGTCCCCTCCTCGATGGCTCTGCCCTGCGGACACCTGCAAATCCCGTGCCGGTGCGTTTTCAGCCCACCAGGCCCTGCTTCCTTCCCCACCTTCTGTTCCCCTTTTCATTACACCCCCTTGTACAGTAAAGCCTCCCGTCACGCTGCCATTACTATTATTATTGCAGATTTACTGCACTTGCAGAGTGAAGTGATTGCGGTGACAAGGCCCAGCATTTTTCCCTCCTTCCCCCCGCGACAGCTTGAAATCAAGCCCTTCATTTGCATTTACATGATCTTGCTGTGCAGCTTATGAGATCGGGAGATTTATTTGCTACTTAGCTTGATGTTTGATTACACTCTAAGAAGGCAGTGAGCTACAAAGTGCAGGGATACATCAGAACTGAGCTACTGAAAGCCTCTGGGGGACAGTAACTCAACATCAGGTTTAGGTAGATGAGAAAGGGAATGTTCAGTGTTTTGAGAAAGGCAAATTTCACGAGAATTTTTTTTTTTAAAGGTGGAGGGAAAAACTTACCTTCCCTCTCTTACAAAAAATGGTTGGGAAAACAAGAATGTTTTTATAAAAAGCACACCTGAAAATCTGGATTTGTTAGCGCAGAAGAAATCCTAGCAGGGGCTGGTGGCTGCTGGGCTGCCTGCTGCTAACTGCTTGTAACTTCTGCTCCCAAGAAGATTATTAATAAGAAGTTGGCAGTTCTCATTGAAGATTTTCATAAACATTAAAGGTCGTAGTTAAAGTTTTGCTTGATGAAAGACCACAAAATATGTCCCTGATTTATTAAGCTTCAAACCATGCTACTGAGCGTTAATCCTGCTGTAATAGTGGGGAAACTGAGGCAGGGAGACAGTATGCCCATGCAGGACAGCAAAGGGAATGGAGTTTGGATTGGGGAGAGAAGCAGACCGCTCCCAGTACTCTACAGTGTTCAGACTGGGAGACCAAATTATTATAG